CTCTCATGCTCTCTGTCTCTCATTCTCTCTGTCTCAAATAAATAAAATCTTTAAAAAAAAAAAAAAAAAGCTATATTTTCTACAACAAAATGGTGAGAAGAGTGGTACTTTTGAGTATTTTTGGAAATCTCTAATATCTGGCTTAAAAGAAGACAACTGGTTTTGCACACCTGCTTTAGCATTCAGTACATTGCAATATGTTGTTTTGGCTGAAGTATATAAAGAAAATATGGCCTCAATTAGATAGTTGGAAAATGGTGGAGTATTTTAATAGCCCTTCGAGTCCATTCTTCTTTGATAACACACCAAAACTTGACAATTTGTGGTTTCTTAAAGATCAGTGGCAATATGGAATCTGCAACTTCATCAACAAACTTTCAAATACTGTTTCATTTAAATCTATTGATCAGTACTGAATCCTGAATGGACCTTTTACCTATACATTGTCATATCACACATTGGTCTTCAGAAAATACTGACATACAGACTCATGCAGATCTTCCAAATATTGACATATTTCATTATACAATATTTTTAAAATCACATTAATATCAGCAATAATCTAATCAGAATAGTCTTTAAATACTGGAAAATGTCAAGCTCATGGTAAAACACAACTTTTCCAGAATTCTAATTTTTGCTTCAAAGTTCAAATTTTATCATCACCCACAAACACTGTCAGTTGTTTTCCTTGAAGTGACAGGCTTGCTTCATTCATTTTCAAAGAAATGTCTGCCAAGCACCCAAGTCTGAAAACCATAATTTTTCTGTCAATTATTCTTTCAAAAATAAAAATATTATTCCAGATTGGTGGTTGCCAGAAGTTGCGGGGGAGGGGGTAGCAGGTAGGCAAAATGTGTGAAAATGGTCAAAAGGTACAAACTTACATTTATAAAATAACGAAGTCATTGGGATATAATGTACAATGTGGTGACCACAGTTAACAATACTGTATTGTACATATGAAAGTTGCTAAGACAGAAGATCTTAGAAGTTCTCATCACAAGAAAAAAATGTAACTGTTATGATGGATATTAACTAGACTACTGTGGTGGTCACTTCACAGTATAAAACATCAAATCATGTTGTATGGCTGAAATTCATAACATATGAATGAGAGCAAAAAATTTAAAAATTTTTAAATGTTTTCCATATTAAAAAAGTGGCTAGTTTGTCTCACAAATATTTTTTTAAAGATTTTATTTATTTGAGAGAGAGAGAGATTACAAGCAGGGGAGAGCAGTAGAGGAAGAAGCAGACTCCCTGCTGAGCAGGGAGCCCAATGTGGGACTTGATCCCAGGGCCCTAGGATCATGACCTGAGCTGAAGGCACATGTTTAACCAACTGAGCCACCCAGGCGCTGTGTCTCACAAATATTTTTCTCAAACCAACCATCATAATTCAGTATGTGGCAGAAGTACTGTATGGTATGTCCCATTTTGTTACATAATATTAAAAAGACATGCAGTTAAATTTCAAAATTTGCTAGAAATAATTTTTTGCTGCACTTTCTTAAGACTGACTTTTTTTTTTTCTTTTTTTTTCTCTTTCCCCACAATGGAGAAGAATGCAGTGACCACTAGCATGGTTTGATGCCACTTCCTTGTTTTAATCCCACAGACCCCCTACAAGAGTCTCAGGGATCCCCACAAAGCAAACTCTGAGAGCAGCTTCTCTAAATACAAGTGGAGGCTAAAAATAGGAATATTAGCAGCTCCACAGTGTGTGTAAGATGGAACAATCTTGAAAAGAAATGGGGTGCTGAGGAATTTATCTCAAAGCTGCATTTGCAAGGCAAGTTCATTTTTACTTATACTTACCAGAAGGGATATATTTGTAGGTAACTGAACATCAATTACTGAAATTTACATATTATTCTGGTTATCATGGACAGTTCACATACTATGGGCTCACTATTAAGTGGCATCATAACCAAATTTCTGAACGAAAACTACATGCAATGTTTAACATTTTCTTCAATGTAAAACTAAACAGAAATAGTTTATAAGTTTTACTTATTTATTTTTTAATTTTATTTATTTGACATAGAGACAGAGAAGGAACACAAGCAGGGGGAGTAGGAGAGGGAGAAGCAGGCCTCCTGCTGAGCAGGGAGCCCGATGCGGGGCTCAATTCCAAGACCCTGGGATCATGAACTGAGCTGAAGGCAGACACTTAACCGTCTGAGCCACCCAGGCACCCCAGTTCATAAGTTTTAAAACAGCCCACTTTCAGGGGCATCTGGCTGGCTCAGTCAGTGGACCATGTGACTCTTGATCTCAGGGTTATAAATTCAAGCCCCATGGTAGGCATGGAGCCTAGTTTAAAAAAAAAAGAAAAAAGAAAAAAAGCCCACTTTCAGTTTAAACTGCTAAATAATGAAGTGTAGCCATTTGGCTTATAATGTGAGAAAACTGTAATTCAAGTGAAGTTTACCACATACAATATTAGGACAAATGTTTATAATCACTGTACCTTCTGAGTTTAGCATTTAGGTCCTTGAAAAATACATTGGGAGAGAATACAGACATTCAAAATACAATACCTATTAACAACTCAACAAAAAAATACTGTCCTCTGATGGAATCAAGAAGACTGTCAACCTGTTGAATCTCAGATCTGTACCTCTGAAACAAATAATGCAATATATGTTAAGAAAAAAAAGAAGAAGAAGAAGGTAGCAGGAGGGGAAGAATGAAGCGGGGGAAATCGGAGGAGTAGACGAACCACGAGAGAGATGGACTCTGAAAAACAAACTGAGGGTTCTAGAGGGGAGGGGGGTGGGAGGATGGGTTAGCCTGGTGGTGGGTATTGAGGAGGGCACATTCTGCATGGAGCACTGGGTGTTATGCACAAACAATGAATCATGGAACACTACATCTAAAACTAATGATGTAATGTATGGGGATTAACATAAGAATAAAAAAAAAAAAGAGAGAAGACTGTCAACCACAAGCCAAAAAAAAAAAAAAAGTTGACTTAGGAAATGTTTCAAATAAAGCCAAGTGAGTGTGTATTAACATTCATGGGAATAAAAATTTTTTTAGCAATATTTAAATTCTAATTATGGAATCATATATCCTAGTAACCCATGTTATAAAATTACATTTCAAACCATACAACTTAAACTGTATGACACCAAAATGAGAACGAGTCAACTTACTCGATCTGCTAATCCTCCAGGAACGATCGTCCTCACAACCACACCACTTGATTTTCCTCCAACTATTCCAAAACCTAATCCAGAGCCATCATTAATGAGCTCAACATCTTCAATATGGCCCCAATGAACCTACAAATTAATGGCAAAAAAAGCGAAGGTTAGTGAAACACAGATACTTAGCTTTCCAATACAATAATAAGTAAAAGATATACCACAAATTGAACATGCCTACAAGTAATCAGGGCAACTTTCTAGAGGCTAGGAGATATGTAACGATGATCAGATGGTCCCCGCCCTTGAAAATCTTATAATCCAGTAGAAAGATAATCTAAAACACAAATAATTAAAATATGAGGCAGAATACTGAATCATAAGATACATAGCTCGAAGAGGATAGAGACATGTTGCCTTATTCTCCAGTCTGTACCCAATATCTACCACAATGTCCAGCACACAGGAGGAACCAATAAATATGTGTTTACCTGAATTGGAAGAGAATCACAGACTATTATAAAGATGCAGGAGTGGGGGACCAGGGGCAGATATAAGAGGTTGAATCCAATGAAGAATTACGGAAAGCTTCGAGGAAAAGGTCGCATTTTAATTGCAGTATGGGGAGGAAAAAAAAAAAACCACATTCGAGCAAAAGGGAAATGTAAGAGCAAAGCAGGGCCAAGTAACAGAATGGGTCAAAGATATGGTCAAAAGATTGGATTTACTTGGGCGCCTGGGTGGCTCAGTCGGTTAAGCGACTGCCTTCGGCTCAGGTCATGATCCTGGAGTCCCGGGATCGAGTCCCGCATCGGGCTCCCTGCTCGGCGGGGGGTCTGCTTCTCCCTCTCCCGCTCCCCCCTCATGTGGTCTCTCACTCTCTCTCTCTCAAATAAATAAATAAATAAAATCTTTAAAAAAAAAAAAAGATTGGATTTACTTAACTGGATAAGCAAAAGGAATAACTGAAGGTTTTAAAAAAAGGAAGGACAGGGATGCCTGGGTGGCTCAGTCGGTTAAGTGTCTGCCTTTGGCTCAGGTCATGACTCCAGGGTTCTGGGATGGAGTCCCGCATCGGGCTCCTTGCTCAGTGGGGAGCCTGCTTCTCCCTCTGCCTGTCACTCCCCCTGCTTGTGCTCGCTCTCTCTGACAATTAAATAAAATCTTTAAAAAAAAAAAAAAAAAAGAAGAAGAAGGACAGGAACAAAGCAGTGGTTTAGGAAGATTAATCTGACAGCAATATGAAGGATGAAATGCTGAGGACACAAGGTAAAGAGACTAATTAAGCAGGTTCTTATGTGGGAGAGGTAAGGTAGGCCCCACTGAAGACACAGCAATAGGACTATATGAATCAAACTGAGAGACGTTAAGCATTTTGCCTCTAACTAGTAGGCTTCCATCATAAATATGCATTAGGGGTGCCTGGGTGGCTCAGGTGGTTAAGCATCCAACTCTAGATTTCAGCTCAAGTCATGATCTCAGGGTGGTGAAATTAAGCCTCTGGCTCTACATTCAGAGGGGACTCTGCTTAAGATTCTCTCTCTCCCTCTGCCCCTTCTCCCACATGCACTCTCCCCCAAATAAATTAATCTTAAAAAAAAAAAGTTCATTAAATTTACATATCTAACCACAGAATAAAATCCGCCATCTCAAGCTCAACAGTTTTACAATTATACTAAGTTGGACAGTTACTATGCAAGGTTAAAATACCAGGAATATTAGGATATGTAATAAATTCAGGTCTAAAACAATATCTAGTATCTGGGAAGTAACAAATTTGCTAAAATATGCCTGAATTAATGATCACAACTAATATTCAGAGTGTATATTTTGCACTAGGCACTGTGCTTAGCTCTTCACATGCATTCTCATGTAATCCGCATATTATCTCTGTGATGTGGATGCTGTTATTAGTTCCAAGGAAGAAAAGAAACTGAGGGTTGGAGGAGTCAAGGAACCTTTCTGATATGACACAGCTAGGAAGTGGCAGAACTGGACTTGAACCCATCTTAGCCTGGCTCCAGAGCCCTTGTTCTTAACCACTATGCAAAGCATTTTCTCACTTTGTTCATTGTATTTATTATGTAAATTGTGCTGTATAAATATCACTGATTACAAAAGGGAAAATGTCTATACGTTAATTTGTGTTGTGACCTTGTACTGTACCTGGATGGTCTATTGTTTCTTTTGTCCCAATGAATGAAAATTAATCAGCTAGCACTTAGTGTTATAAGAAAGTAAGATTTATTAACTTGCATTCTGAAGATGGAGGCCAAAATCTGTAAAACCTTATAAACCAAGTTGAAAGATTCCCAAAAGACACATATGCTTTTATTCTTATTTTAAACTGCTCAGTATACATGCTTACATGAAAAGGAAACCTATAATTTTGCAGTGTCAATAATCTAGTCATAAATACCCAATATGATCTACAAAAATGTTTTTGAGATAAATAACATAACTAAATCTTACTTAAGATACTCAACAGTAAATCTCTAATAAAAACTCTCAGCTTAATTAAGAACCGCCTACATCACTGCAGAACAAGGCTCTTTCCAAATAAGTTATGCGTAATACAACAATTCACCTTTTACATTAAATAATAATCTTAAATAAGGAGAACCATAGGACGTTGAAAAAACAATCCTCTGTGAAATTTCTTAATATGTTAATGCTGTATTTAGAGATGTGATCTTTCCTGAAGTATGACAAATAAAATAGCATCTTCTAAATGTCTTTACACTTCTTAAAATCAGTAGCATAATTCAAAATTATTTTTCCAAATTTGTAACTCACTGTTTCAGGCAGAGTGGTATCAGTTAGGCTGGTAGAAGTACTGCTTTTTCTGTGGACGGGTTCCCTGGCCACAACCAGATGCAGAGATCCAGTGGTTTGTTGTAATAACGCAATTGCTCGCTGATGGGAAATGTTCTGATCCAGTGGTGTGTGATTAATAGCCAATATTTGGTCATTTTCCCTTAATCTTTGATCCCTTGATAGAATAAGAAAATTCTGTTATAAGTGATACAATAGCATCATTAAAAAAAAATCTTTTATTCAAGTGGAACAGTTTATCTCTTATGGCACTACTTCACTTAGTACATTTATTCAAATAATTATATGACAGCTCTTCAGGGTGCTTTTCATCAAAGCACTTATTAGCTAACTAACCGATTAAGTGGTGCATCCCTAAACGTGTGCGCACGCACACACACACACACACACACACACAACCATCTGGCTAGAAAAATAAGCAAAAACAATGCGTGGGGGGGCCCCACTGCCAAGGTTTTGCATATAAAAACACTGCCACCATTCTGCACGAATCCTATACTCCTGAACCCCTTCCAACCTGACTTCAGCATATACCACACTGGGGTAACTGTATCCTCAAATTCACCAATAACCTCCTCTCTAGCAGAGTCACCCTGTCTAGATCATCCTTTACATCTCCGACATCTGTCAATTGTTAGGCCAAACTCTCCTTGAAAATCAATAGATGCTACTTCTAAATCTGTATTTAAGCCCTTCTCTCTGTCTCAATCCTCAACTGCCCAACTGCTAACCTAGATAAAAAAAGAACTATTTTAAAAAGAAATTAGCAAAACCTTAAGGAAAAAAACACACTATTATAGTTAATATTTACTGAGCACTTGTTAGAAGCCACATAATGTGCTAGATGCTTTATAGGTATTATCTCATTTAATTCTCACAACCACCTCTTACTTAGTGACAGGGGAACCTGGGTGGCACAGTCAGTTAAACATCCGACTCTTGATTTCAGCTGAGGTCATGGTCTCAGGGTCCTGAGATCGAGCCCTGCATTGAGCCCCATGTCGGGCTCCGCACTCAGCACGGAGTCTGCTTGTCCCTCTCCCTCCCCCCCACTTGTACTCTCTAAGATAAAATTTAAAAAAAAAAAGGTAGTTACATTTTACATGTAAGAAATTAAAGCCTTATCTTAGCTGACTCTGAAACGTATTTCACTTTAGTAGGATTTACATATTTGACTTCATTATCTCCCAGACACCACTCTTTCTTCCCATTTCTCCATCATCACACCTTCAGTTCCTTCTTAACCCTCTTTATCTCTTTGCCTCCACCCATCTTCTTCCATTCCCCATGTCAACCATCCAGTGGAGATCCTTCTCTAATGCCTAAAAGTGAACTTTCAAAATTTCTCAAGGTTTATTTTGCTAGGCTCTCTTAATGCTGGTATCGCCCAACTTGAAAACGTGTAACAATTATCTGTGATTACTGACCAGTAAGGAGAGAGCCAAAGGAAAGAGAACAAACTCTTATCATCATAGTTTCATAAATGAAAATTAACCTTCAAAATACAGAATCTCCCAGAGGAGGGATTTATCTAATTCAAAAACTCAGAATTATGAAAATTCCATTATATTGCCCTTATCTTTCTTAGGTCACAGCAGATTCAGCAAAACTTTGTCATGGATCAGAATTTGGTAGTTTTTTTTTCTTAAGATTTATTTATTTTAGAGACAGCGAGAGTGGGGCAGGGGCCGGGGGACAGAGGGAGAGGGAGATCTCCAGCAGACTCCCTGCTGAGCATGGAGCCTGATGCAAGGCTCAACCCCACGACCCTGAGCTCGTGACCTGAGCCGAAATCAAGAGTGGATGCTTCACCGACTGAGCCACCCAGGCACTCCTGGTAACTTTTTTTTTTTAAAGATTTTATTTTTAAGTAATCTACACCCAACATGGGGCTTAAACTTACTGGCCCAAGATCAAAAGTTGCATGCTCAGGCTCCCTGCTCGGCAGGGAGTCTGCTTCTCCCTCTGACCCTCCTCCCTCTCATGCTCTCTGTCTCTCATTCTCTCTGTCTCAAATAACTAAATAAAATCTTTAAAAAAAAAAAAAAAAAAAAAAAAATCTAAAAAAAAAAAAGTTGCATGCTCTACCAAGGGAGCCAGCCAGGTGCCCTCAGAACAGAATCTGGTAACTTCTGAGCTCAGGGACACAGGGTAAACTTGGTTGGTATTCAAAGGCCTGTGCATGGGATGCCTGGGTGGCTCAGTCAGTTAAATGTCTGCCTTCAGCTCAGGTCATGATCCCAGGGTCCTGGTATTAAGTCCCACATTGGGCTCCTTGCTCAGCATAGAGCCTGCTTCTCCCGCTGCCTGCCATTCTCTTGCTCTCACTCTCGCCCTCTCTCTGACAAATAAAATCTTAAAAAATAAATAAATAAAGCACTACCTCTTAAAAAAACAAAAATGGGCGCCTGGGTGGCTCAGTTGGTTAAGCGACTGCTTTCGGCTCAGGTCATGATCCTGGAGTCCCTGGATCGAGTCCCGCATGGGGCTCCCTGCTCGGCAGGGAGCCTGCTTCTCCCTCTGACCCTCCCCCCTCTCATGTGCTCTCTCTCTCTCATTCTCTCCGTCTCAAATAAATAAATAAAATCTTTAAAAAAAAAAAAAAAAAAAAAAAAAAAAAAAAACACAAAGGCCTGTGCATGTGGTCCCCGAGTACTCCTTCCAACTTGGCTTCATTCCCACATAAACCCCCTTTCCGACCATTCTGACCTACTCTTTCCCACTCAAACACGTGTGGCATTTCCTGCTCTTGTGTAGATGGTTTCCTCCATCTCTGATGCCCTTTGACTCTACTCAGCCAAATCAATCCACCCTCTGTGATCAGCTGAGTGTCTCTCTTTCCCACCCTCCCCATCACTTACCTCATTATCACAGTGCTCTGAACCACTCATTTACCACTCACTGAATATTCATTTATACTAAATATGCTATCGACAGAGCTAGCTAAATCCTACTAACCTGTATGTTTTCTGAGGATAGACACTCATGTTTTAGATTCTCTTTTGAAACTAGCAAGTTACATATGAAAATATCTATTTTTGAGGTCAAAATTGTGGGTGGCTCTCATAATAAATCAGATATCATTAAAAATGCTGCTTAGGGGCGCCTGGGTAGATCAGTCAGTTAAGCATCTGCCTTCCGCTCAGGTCATGATCCCAGGGTCGTGGGATCAATCGGGCTCCTAACTCAGCAGAGGGTCTGCTTCTCCCTCTGCCCTCTTCCCTCTCGTGCTGTCTCTCATTCTCTCTCTCTCTCAAATAAATGAATAAAATCTTTTAATTAATAAATAAATAAATAAATAAATAAAAATAAAAGTGTTGCTTATACATCCTGGGGCACCTGGGTGACTCAGTCAGTTGAGTGTCTGACTCTTGATTTCAGCTCAGGGTGGTGGGATTGAGCCCCGCATTGGGCTTGCAATGGGCATGGAGCCTGCTTGGGATTTTCTCAATTTCTCTCCCTCTGCCCCTCCCCCCGCCCCTCATTTGCTCTCGTGCTCTCTCTTTAGAAAAAATAAAAATAAAAATGTTGCTTATACATCCTTTTATTAATATTAGGAAAGGCTTATTATGTTGAGATAAGGATATAAAATTGTATATGCTCCATGACCTTGTCTTTTTAAAAAGAAAACATTCAACTGTATTTCCTAGTTGTCTTAGGGTAGTCAAAGTCCTAGAGTTTGCTTATCATATTTCTATATTTTATGATTTTCTATTATATGTATTACTTTCATAATTTTGAAATATATATTTTATAAATTGAAAATGTTGCCTGCGACCTTTCCCAAGTCCTACATTTGTTTTTAAATGTGACCACTATGGACAATACCAGAAATTACTTCCAGTTTCCCATCTCCAATGTCCTTCTTTCTCTGACTTCTTTACCTAAATTCCTATTCACAGCTTGTTCATTAAGGAAAATTTCTTAATTAATCCCAAATGAATGAGATACTCTTGAATCTTTTCAACCCTGATATAACTAATTTGGATAAGTTCTTAATTTACTCACATTCAAATCTACTATTTTCTGGAAATCAATCTATTTTAATCTACCCCCCCACCCCCACCCCAATAGACTGCCAGGACACTATACTTATTCCTAGTTAAGTATCTGCTCAGGGAATATAACCTCAACTCCAGATAAACAAATTGTGGAGAAAAGAAATCTCCTGGAAAATATGATTTTGATGGATTCTAAAGTTGAACAGAATTAGTTTTACTGCTACTATTATTTATAATTTAACTCCCACATACTGTTTGTACTGAATACATATTTTTCATTTAAGGTTGAGATGAGTTCTGTCTCTCCATTGCAACATTCAAAAATAATGGATTCCCATTACTTTGAGAGACAATGGTCTTAGGTAAGCTCCTAAAATAACACAATTCTATGTGGAAAGTCCTCAGGAGAAAGGAAGAACTGATCATGAAAACCATTTAACATGATCTAGAAGGTCATGCATGACTGACCCCACCTCTCTCCAATCCTTTCTTGTACTCTCTTGCACTAAGCTCCCACACCAGGTAAATACCAGCCTCACTCCAAGGATAGGAGCTGTGTTCCTTCTCTCCATAGGACTACTGCTCAAGACAGTCTCTCTTTTCCTCTGACACCTTCTGCTCTTTGCAGACCCCACTCCTTTAAGCACTGCTGTCTCTGGGAAGCCACCTGACTGCTTAGCCTTGGTCAAGGCTCTTTACACACTAACATGTCAAACTTCTCTTTTTGAAAATGTTCACTTCAATCTGTAACTACAGACTTAGTACAGAGTACCTCAGACATAAGGATTGACCACAAAAAGGTTGCACAACTTTGAAGATACACTAAAAACTACTGAATTGTACACTTTAAAATGAGACGTTTACGGTACGTGAACTGTATACCAATAATAATTTTTTAAGTTAAAAAATTTAGAAAGAAAAGTTGGGCCAATAAAAGTTAAATAGACTTTTTGTCGAGGGACAGCATAGCCTAAAGTAAACTAACGGTAAGTGACCCGACGTCCGGGCTCACCTGGGATTGTCTAGGTTTGCCAGAATAGTCCTACTCTATACCTGCTGTTTCAGGGTCATTAACAGAACCCCCTCTCAGTCCCAAAACTCTCCCAACATGGACAATAAACTATATGGTCACCCTAACTATGTGTACCCAATCTCCAAGAACAGCATAGAATTTCACAAATACATCTGACACTGATAAGTTTCCTCAGTTTCCTCAGAACATACTTGAGGAAATGCCACATGAAATGGCAAGAATAAAAGCTGCAAAGGCATGGAAATCCATTATTTCTGAATATTCAGGTGGGGAGCCTAGAACTGATCCTCCATGAATGGTGAATGTAAATTCAAAAATTTATTATTGGCTGAGAATTTTTTTTTAATAATAGAACCACTGCTGTTGCTAACAGGTAGTAGTAACGTAATGAACAGTGTGCTTATTAAATGAATAATAAAAGACCTGAAATCAAATAGAGACAGAATATAAGGCTTGCACATACCTCTTAAAATAAGAAAACCATGGCACAGTGCAATAGGGGGGAATCACGCAGATTTAAGGAGGCTTTTAATTGACAAGAGAAATAATCAACAGTGTGATAGGACCACAAAAACAATTTTATAATCTTAAGTTTAATAAACCAGAGTATGCAGAATCCGAATTTCAGTATTTCCATGTTACTGATCAGACGTAGCTAAAATACCATGTTCGATTGTGGGAGAGTATGGCAGAATAGAAAGCGCACTAGCTTGGCTGAGACTGTCTTGGAATCATATCAGGGCTCATGGTTCCAGCATCTACAGCTCTGTGACTACAGGTAAAGCACTGAGCCTCTCTGAATTCAGCTTTCTCATCTACGGAACAGGGTAATGGTATTACTAGCTAGATGGCTGCCGCAAGTACCTGGGAGAGTATCTGCTAAAGGCCTGACAAAGGCATATGAGAAGGAAACACGTTAGCTGCTACGGTTAACTGTTTTAATTACTAGTTTCTTATTCTCTTCAGAATAATGTTTTCAGGATTCTCAGAAAAAGATTAGCAAAACGCAAAAGGAACAACCTCCTCACCTGTCTGCTATACTCCCTGGCTGCACTTCCTTCACCAAGATATCAACTTCTCCCAGATTTTGACTTCTCAGGGCCACCACACTGAATCCAAGGCCTCCGGATGAAGGCCGTTCTATATCGATATATTCAATTTGCCGGCCCTAATGAAGGGGGATAATAAAAACAAAAAAGTCAATGAAGTACATTTAACCACTGTACTCTTTCCAAAGAACTGAAATTGCTATTTTTGTGAGTAACACAACAAACAGCTTCTCCTAAGTCATCTCTAGCCAAAAAAACTCAGCATTTCAGCAATACGTTATTTCTGGAAATCCTCTCACTTGATTATCTTCAGTAGGACATAAGAGGGCGTGTGCGGGGCGCCTGGGTGGCTCAGTCGTTAAGCGTCTGCCTTCGGCTCAGGTCATGGTCCCAGGGTCCTGGGATCGAGCCCCGCATCGGGCTCCCTGC